GGCCGCCGGAGGGCTTGCGAAGGCAGCTGGAGCAGTTTGCAGCGCGCGCGAAGCGGTGCAGGAGGGAGGCGACGGCCCTCGCCAGGGAGCTCGGCTTCACCGAGTTTATCCGCGAGGCCTGACCTGAGGAGCGTCTCCGCCGAGCCGCGCCTTCTCTCGACTGCCCAACTAATTGTTTGGCCTCGCGCCGCGGACGACCCGCGCGCGTCGCTGGGGCCCTCTCGGGGCGACCAGCGCGCGTCGCGGGAACTCCGCGCTGCGGGCCGCCCGGCTCCTCGTTCGCCTATCGTCGCTCTGCCCAGCGGTCAGAGATTTGCCCGCTATCAGCCAGCCAGTTAGCTAGCCAGCTCTCTCTGCTCCGCGCAGCGGACGACCCGCGCGCGTCGCTGGGACCCCGCCTGGAGCGACCAGCGCGCGTCGCGGGGACTCCGCGCTGCGCCGCGCCCGCAGCCTTGGATTTTTGGAATGCGCGGGCAAAGAGGAAGGAAAAGAACGCACGAAAGCGGGCGCGATCCTCGCAAGGGGCGCGCCGACATGGGGGTCGCGGCGCGCGGGCGCTGCCGTGGGGGTTCCCGCGGAAGCTGCCTGCGGCGGCCACGCCCAGTGTCACGAGTGTTCGGACAGGCGTGCTCGAGCCAGTCACATTCATTTACATTCACATTAGGCGTATCCCTGATCGCATTCATGCAAATATACTCGCACGCAGACACATTCACATTCAGACTCACTCGCGCCCTGACTCACCCGCGTTTATTCTTTCGTAATCAAACCTATCGTATTCCTTTGCGTTGTGTACCCCGCCACAGTTCGGCACACCCCTCATACGGTTCGTGGCCCCATAGGGAGCGCCACCGAAGAAGATATTCACAATTGCGGTACTCGCAACTTCATATGGTTGGGTCCTTCGCCAGGCTAATATATATATATATATATATATATATATATATATATATTAAAAGGTTCCTATGGCCCCCGGCCAAAGTGGCGCCCACCCCGCCCACCCCTGCATCACTTCCAAACACACACACACACACACACACACACACACACACACACAACACACACACACAACACACACAACACACACAACACACACAACACACACACAACACACACACACAACACACACACACAACACGCACAACACGCACAACACACACAACACACACAACACACACAACACACACAACACACAACACACACAACACACACAACACACAACACACACACAACACACACACAACACACACAACACACACAACACACACAACACACACAACACACACAACACACAACACACACAACAGACACAACACACACAACACACACAACACACACAACACACACAACACACAACACACACAACACACACAACACACACAACACACACAACACACACACACACACACACACACGCCATCCCCAAGTGGAGCTGAAGGAACAATTCGTTCAAAAATGGCCCCGCGGGGTTCCGCGGCCCCATCGGCCCACGGGGCCAGGGAAATAGGTCTGCGTCATGAAATGAGCAATTGAGACACCTACGCTGCCAAACTTCATGGAAATCAGTCTTTGGACCCCGTCCAGGGGTTCACCAGCGTTCGATATTCGCGCTGCGTCCAACCGTGGCGACGAGAGCCATCCGCGACGGCGAACTGACGGCGTCTCCAACGGCTTCCAGTTGGTCTTCGCTGCCTCCAGAAGGGCGCCGTGCAACAATTTTTTCCGAAGGCCTGGCAGGCTGAAGGCTTGGTTGCGGGGCTCCGCAGGCGCATGTGGAAACTACATACCCCACATCTACATATCCCACAGCAGTTCGCCGCCGACCCGTCTGCGGTCGTCGGGGTCGTGGGGCGAACGACAACGCGCAGCCCAGGCGCGCAATCGGCGTTCCGCCTCTGGTCGCGCCATTCCAGATGGCGCATAGCAGAGGCTCCTGCTGACGCCGCAATGGGGGCATTTGCAGCTCAACCCATGCATCCTCTTTTGCGACATCAGCTCTGTGAAGACCTCGCCCACCTCGCGCTCTCCAGGGCGCGCAACTGGGTGGATTGCAGCTGCCCTCGCGGGGGCGTCTTCCTTTCGCCGCCTCTTGGACGGGCCAGCGATGGCCTCCTGCACCTGCGCCTCGAAAGCGGCGGAAACTGCGGCGGGGGCTGCGGCGGAAGCGGCGGCGGAAGCAGCGGCGGAAGGGCGGCGGGAGCTGCGGCGGGAGTTTCGCCGAACCGGCGGCGCTGCGGTTGCGCCCGCGGGAGTGCGTTTCAATGGTGATTGCGTGCGTCGCAAAACCTATGCGCGCGGCGGCGCCTGCGCGCGCCGCGTGAATTGCGAGCGTTGTGGCGCCATCTTGCGCCGCGAGGCTTGCATGCATTAGAAACTGGCGTTCTCTGTGAACTCCCTGCTGCGCTGCCCCTCCCACCCGGACCTGCGCGACCGAATTCGCGGCGTTGTCGGGGGGGGGGGGGGGGCAGGCCCGATAACGCGCGCTATCGCCAAACCCTTTAAAAAACAGCCTCCATGGGGGAGGGGCAGGACGGAAATGAGGGAGGGGAGGGGAGGGAGGGGAGGGAGGGAAGGGAACGAATGGTGGGGTCCCCGGCCACTTCCGTAGACATCCGATGTCGTTTTTGTACTTTATTTTTTTGTGTTGCATCGTGGGCCCCCAGAGGCCCTGGGACCGCCCCTGGGATCGGTTTTTCATTTTGAGTCGTTTCTTGGCGGCCCCGGGGCCCGCTGAGGGCTTCTGGAGGCCGAACATATCCAAAAGCTTCCGATTAGGATTTTCGATCGTCGATCGATGATCGTCGATCGCCCATCCTCGATCGTGGATTGTCGATTTTGGATCGCCGGCGAATGGGAGGGCGGAGGCTCCGGGGGCTGGGCGGCCAAAGGGGAAGGGGGAGGGCTTCCAAGCCCCCCCCCCTCCTTTTGGCACGAAAGGGGGCGGGGGGTCTTCCAGAAGGGCGGCCCCAAGGGAGGGTGGGGGAGGGGGGGGGGTAGCTTAAGCGCCCCCCTCCTTTTGGGAAGGGGGGCAGGGGGGCGGGGTAGCTTCCAGCAGGGCGGCGCCAAGGGAGGGGGGGGGGGGTAGCTTAAGCACCCCCCCACCCCCCCTCTGGAATGGGGGGAGGGAGAGGGGGGGGTAGCTTCTTGGGAGGGCCCAAAGGGGGAGGGGGGCAGCTGCGGCCCCCCCCATCCCCCCCCCTGGCAAAAAAATGAGGAGGGGGGGTGTTTCCAACAGGGGCGGCTCAAGGGAGGGGGGGGTAGCTTAAGCCTAGACCCCCCTTTGCTCGGGCCCTTTGGGCGCGCTCTCTCTCTCTCTCTCTCTCTCTCTCTCTCTCTCTCATTTACATATATATATATACACATACATACATACATACATACATACATATACAACTACATATACATTTATACATACATATATATATATATATATACAATTTCACATAATAATAACTATCGAATGCTGCCGAAAGAGCCCCTCGCGCGCGCATGGCGAAATCATTCGAACGCCCTTACTCGCGTGCGAGGGGGGGGGGGGGCACGATCCTCGGCAAGCAATGCCATGCGGGCCGTTCGCGCGCGCTGATCGCGCGCGCGTCGAATTTGTTCCAAAACCTTCATCGCCGAGGCGATGGCACCATCGTCGTCATCGTCGTGATCAGCATCGGCGCCGTCATTGCTCTTTCCTCCGTCATTACCATCATCGTCACCAGCGCCGCTAACATCATCATCGCGTCTGCTGGCGTCGACGTCGTCATGATACCGCGCCTGACCGAATCGCCGAAAAGCGCGGCCTGCGAAACGCCCTGGAAGTTCCCAGCGGTCAGCGCCACCGCGGCAGCGCCGGCTACGCCTGACTAGCTGGCCGCTCTGCGCGGGAGTTTGCCCGGTTGTGCGGCCGCAGCGACGCGCCAGCCAGTGCCCAGCAGCCATCGCAATCGCCGCCGCATGGGTTTTGCATTTTGAGTTGCTGGTGGGCGGGCGGGATATTTTCGCGGACATGGCAGGCGGTCGCGTAGGGAAATCATTACCCCCCCTGGAATTGCACCCCCGCCCTGAGGATGTGCAGTGTGCATGCGATTCTGCCCCGCCGCTGGTCCGAAATATGGATCCGTAGCATCCCAGCCAGGCCGGTATCGACCCCCCCCCACCACGCTTCGAACAAACATTCAAGACTTTGCAAACATAAAGCGAAGTGCAATCGCGCGCGTCGTCGCGCGTCCGAAATCTTTCAAAAACCATTGGCGACGGACGATTTTCAAAATCGAGTGCCCCGAAAACAGATTGAAATACATGCTTCACAACGTGAGTTTTCAAGACGAAGGTCTGCGCGCTCGCCCTTTGTAGTGATTTGACCTCTCGTGCGCGCTTGTCGAGATCATTCGAAGGCCCTTTCGCGCGTGTTGGCGGGGGGCGCGATCCTCGTCAAATCAACACGTGCGGGAAGTCTCGTGCTTTTCGCCGTTCTTTTAGGATATTGTTATTTCTTTCGTGCCAGAGGCGAGCCTTCCCCGCCGTCCCCCCTGCCCCCAATCGCCCTTGCGTCGCGGACGGGCCTGACGACCCTCCCCGCCCAGGAACGTGCGGTTGCACATCGGATGTCTTTCGCCGATGAATCGGCGATGTCTTGCCGATGTCATGCCTCATGGACCGGCCCCCTCTGTACTTGGCATCGTCCGGGTGTGTGCCTTTTTTCTCGGCATGGCCAGCGCCAGAAATGTTGGCCATCGACGGGAAACACACGCGCGAAACCATGCCCTTCACCAGAGAGGATTCCTCCCCCCTGCCCCCTGGCCGCTGCCGCCGCTAGCGCCATCGTCGCCGCTGGCCACAGTTGCCGCCGCCGCCGCCTTCGCCGCCGCCATGGTCGCCGTCGTGCTCGTTGTGGCCGTCGTCTCCGTCAGCGTCGCCGTCGTCGTCGTCGTCGCCGTCATCGTCGTCGCTGCCGTCGTGTCGTCGCCACCGTCGGAGTCGTCACCGCCGCCGCCCCCTCTTGGGCCAGGCGCCGCTCCGGAGGCCGCTGCCCGCGTGCCGCGAGGTGCCCCCGCTGGTGTTGCCAACCCCCTCGGACGGGCCGCCGCCGAGGCTGCGGGGCTCAGGCCCAGCCCACTTGGGAGCCACGACGACAACCACGACGACGACGGCCACGGCCACGGCCACGGCCACGGCCACGGCCACGGCCACGGCCACGGCCACGGCCACGGCGGCGTCGGGGGCACCAGCGACGGCGGCGGCGACGGCGCCAGCGGCGGCGACGACGGCGACGACGGCGTCCACGACGACGACGGTGGTGACGTCGACGACGACCCCAGAAAGGGAGCAGCATACGTCTGGGGCGTCCACGGGGGGTGAAGGCCAGGGGGCGTCCGAGGTCGGCTTTCACCGGGTTTCGGACGTTTCCGCTCGGTTCTTACAGTGTTTCTCGTTTCGGGATGTTCTATATCGGTTGCGCCTCGTTGAGAGTTTTCTGGGGGGGCCCAGATCGCCCCGAGCGGCCGCGAAAGAGCCGATTGATGGCCCGAAAACCAGGGGGATAGATTCAGGGGGGATGCATCGGCCCCCAATCGCCCTTTCATCGCCGATAGGGGCCTGAAAACCCTCCCCGCTTAGGACCGTTCGGTTTCGCTGTCGGGAGCCAATCGCCGAACTATCAGCGGTGTAACGTCGATTCCAGCTCGAGTGTTCCCCCACTGATCCGCTCCCCTCTTCTCCTTGCCCCTCGCAGCATACGCCGAGGGCGTTCAAGAGGGGGGTTAGGACATGGGGAGGATAGCGTAGCCAGAGCTATGAAATCTCCCAGGTCTCATGGCCCCCCCTTCTTTTCTCAACGTGTCTCCTGCCCCCCCCCCCACACACTTGTCAGCGGACGCGCCTCGGGCCATGATTTGCGAACCACTGACGGCTTGGTGAGCCTCGGCCTGTGGTTTCTCCTGGTTTGGCTGCTGCTGGCTCGGCTCCCCGGGTGCGGCCAAGGAAGGGGGGTGATGATTACGGGGGTGGATATCGTGACGGTGGCCATGACATTTCGTGTATATATAGTATATTTATGTATGTGTGTATATATAAATATGGATCCCCAGATCTCATTGGCCCTCTTCTTCTTTCAATGCAGTCAAAGTGTATAGTAAGGATGAGGGACTTTCCAAGATTACCTTTGCATCCTCTTCTTTTTCAATGCAATCAAAGCGGACGGTAAGGATGAGCGAGTTTCCAACAGGGTTTCTTGCGACTTCGGCCCATCCTTGACCACTTTCGTTGGCCGCGCCCCGCTCGACATGTGTCGACAGGGCCTTCCACGGCCCCTGCGTCCTTATCACGCATCCTTATCTTACGCGTCGACTGTACATTCCTTGGTCCCCCCCCCCGGTTCGCGCACATGTCTCGGGCCATGAGTTGCGCGCCCCCCTCCTCGCCGCCCTTTCTCTTGGCCGCCCCCGAGCTCCTGCGCGGCGCTGTGCCCTCCCTCCTGGCCGATCCCTGCCGACCCCAGGGACCGCGCTGGCGCCCTGGCCCTGCGGCAGGGCGGCCATGGACGAGGACGAGGACTGCGGCGGCAGGGAGGGGCACCAGATGGGACGGGGATTGGGAGGCTTTCTGCCCTCCGTGTTCGGTGCTCCTCCTCCTTCTCGTCCTCGTCTTCATCCCTCTCCTCCCTCTCCCCCTCCGTCTCCTCCTGCTCCTCCTCCGTCTTCTCCTTTGAACTTTGTGCCCTCCTCCTCTGTTTCCCCCTCCTCATCCTAGCATTCACGGCCCCTTGGCCGTCGGCGGGCAGGCCCTCCACCCTGTCCAGGGGACCCAGCCGTCCTTTGGCACGTGCTCCGCAGCCACTTGAGGCTCATGCTGGCCCACTCTGCCCCGAGCGCAGCGGGGCGAGGTGGTGCGAGCACTTTCGCTGCGGGCGGCGCCCCTGCCAGGGCCACCCTGAGGAGCCGGCGGCGGCGCGGCGTGCTCGGCACGCACGCGCTCGGCAGGCAGCGGCCGGCGCCGTTTGTTGCGCGGTCGACACGGCCAGACCGCTGGAGGCAAGGCTCGAGCTCGCATGGTGGGCCTGTTTTTCACCACCACCACCACCATAAGTAGGAGGGGGAGGGGTTCCTCCTCCTTCTCCTCCTCCTCCTCCTCCTCCTCCTCTTCCTCCTCCTCCTCCTTCCTCCCCTCCCTCTCCCCCGCACGACCCTGTGCTTGGTCAAAAGGTCCAAAAGGTCCTCCTCCTTCCCCCCTCCAACTTATGGTGGTGGTGGTGGAAGACAGGCCCATCATCGTAGAGTCCGCCCTTTGGGCGGTGGTCGGCGATTCGTCGCTGGCGGACCGCGTCGCTGCTGTTGGGCCGGCGCGGTCGGCGATCCGTTGCCGACGGACCGCGTCGCTGTTGTTGGACCGGCGCGGTCGGCACCTGACCGAGGGTCGGGTGCCTTCATGGCTGGATCGCCTCAGGCATCACGTTGCGCCTAATGCCCGCGAGCGTGCACTTGAGCGGCAGGGCGCGGAGGACGGCGAGGACATCTCGGTCGAGATCTGCGTCGCGGAACACGTCTCGGTCAGAGCTGGAGGCTGCGAGCCGTCGGACATCGTGGTCCCACATCATGGCGTCAGTTGGCCCTTCCCTTCCGTCCTGGCGCAGAGGTTCACTTCCCTGCGCGAGCGGGGACGCGTGATGCCCACTGTGACATGCTGATGGAGGCATTGGCTTCGCATACGCCGTGTGCGGTGCAGGCAGGCATGCGCCCCGACCCCCTCGGGGTCATGATGACGGCCTCAAGGAGAGTGACGCGTGGGCGCAGCCGTCCTCCATGCAGGAGCTGGGGGCTGCCAAGGGCCACGACAAGCTGGAGGGGGTGGGGTCGCGCTCCGCCTTGAGCGAGCTTTCGGGCGGCGCCAACGCTGGATGTTAGTGCGCGGAAGCTGTAGGCGCTCGGTCGGGAAGGGCCCTCGGGGCGAGGACCCAGGTGGAGGGAGGAGTGGTCCTCGGGGATGTTCGGGTTCAGGTGGTCATAGGAGAGGCAGAACCCTGTGTTATATCCCGACGCCATGAAGGGCCCAGGTGGTTGGAGGAGTGGCTGGGGCGCAGGTGGAGGGAGGAGTGGCCGTGCGCCCTGACCAGGTTGTGTCTCCTCCGGTTGGCAAGCTGTTGTGGTAGTAGTCCGTGGCATTGTGGTTTGGTGAATTTGGTCAGAGTATTTCGCAGGCTGGAGATCGGCCGCAGGACTCGCCTTCTGTCATGGTCTTCAGCTGCTCCAGGCTGTGGACGGGCTTGTGGTGTCCTTCGGACGGTCCTCCTTCAGGGGCGATGGCCAGGACTGGGAGAGCATGGTACTGGACAGTCGCGAGCGGGTTGCTCGGCTGGGGCCCCTCCCGTCCTACGGGGAGTCGCGTGACCGCAGGTGTCTTGTCTTGGCGCCTGGGCGCCCCGAGCCTTTGTGGGACCGCGGCATTCGGCGTGGTCGCAGGCTCTTGAATGAGGCCCCCCTGCCGACGCGGTCAAGATCGTGGTCTAGGTGGAGGTATGGGCCCTCCCTCTTCCCAACCACCCCCCTCCTCCTTCCTCCTTCCCCTCCTCCTATGACGAGAGGGGCTGCGGTGCCGCCGCGGCGAGTCTGAGCCTCGGAGTGATCCTCCTCCTCCTCCTCCTCCTCTTCCTCCTTCCTGTCCTCCGCCTCTCGTCATCCTCCTCTTCTTCCTCCTCCTCCTCCTCCTCCTCCTCTTCCTCCTCTCCTTACCAGCAGCATCAGCATCATCAGCATCATCAGCATCGTCATCATCATCGTCATCATCATCATCATCATCATCATCATCATCATCATCATCATCATCATCGTCATCAGCACAATCATCAGCACAATCATCACCATCATAATCACAATCAGCTTCACCACCATCGTTATCATCATCATCAACATCATAATCATCAGCTGCAGCATACTCATCCTCATCATCATAATCATCATATTCATCACCATCATCATCATCGTCATCACCATCACCATCATCATCAGCAGCAGCATGATCAACATTATCATCCTCATCCTCACCATCATTATCATCCGCATCCTCATTCTCGCCCTCATCCTCATCCTCATCCTCCTCATCATCCTCATCCTCATCCTTTTCTTTCCTCTCCTCCTCCGTCTCTTCCGTCTCCTCCTCCCCTTCCGCTTTCTCCTCCCCCTTCTCCTCCTCCTCCTCCTCCTCCTGCTCCTCCTCATCATCCTCATTCGTCTCCTCCGTCTCATCTTTTTCCGTCTCCTCTTCCCTTGACTTCTCCTCATTCGTTTCCTCCTCCTCCTCCTCCTAACATGCTGTGCCCTTCGGCTGCCGGCGGGTCTGCCTTCCACGATGTTCAGGCACCAGCCACCCTTAAGGCAAGGCTGTGCAAGCCTGCGGTATCCTTCCTCCTCCTCTTTTTCATCCTCCTCCTCAGCCTTCGCCTTCGCCTCCGCCCCCTTGGTCTTCCAAGGATTTGGAGGCGCTGACGTGGATGTCAGCACAAATTCGCCTCCGCCTCCTCCGCGTCCTCCCGTCCAGTCTGGAGCTGCGACAGGAGGAGGGGTGGGGGATGGTGCGGAGGGGCAGAGGCAGAGGCGCGACGGGGCAGGTGCAGGCTCAGACATCCAGCAGCTCGAGCAGCTATATCTGACGGAAATTGTTTGAGAATCTTTCAAGCAGTGGCGAAGCGTCTTGGCTCGCCTATAGGCCTACCAAACCATGCTGTAAGAACCTTTTCTGGCTTCCAGGAAGTATTCTTAACATTTCTGGCGGAGTCTGTCTTGTTCTAGAACATGTTGGGTTCCAAGAACATTTCGTGGTAGGACTAAAGGAATCCCGGGACGGTCGGTCCCTACTCAAATCTTGGGCCCTCAGTCTCACAGAATTGGCCGCATAAGTTGTGTAGAATGCATCGTTCGTCTCCTAGCCCTCCAGAACCGAAGCGGCCCGGAAAATAACCCCAAATTTTGTGTTTATTGTCCATGCTTCTCTTCAAGCGAGGATTGCTTTCCATAGCCGCACACATGTCGGCACAACCCTCAATCTTTTCGTGGCCCCGTAGCAAGTGAACTCTCGTTCGTTCAACCTGCCTTGTGGTACTCGCAACTGCATATGGTTGGGTCCTTCGTCAGGCTAATTGTTTGCTGTTCTTGGTTTCTCTAGTGGTTGCTCCCCCAGATCCGATCTGATTCCCCGAATCGAGGCGGACCCCAGTTCTTCCTGTGACGGTAATAATTGTGTCAAAAGGAAAATGACCAGGTGCACGAGCCCCAATTTGCTGTCATCCTCCCTGCTTGCTCACTTCTCCTCCTGAGAGTCAATCCATATAGTAAGGATGCGCTGTAAGGATACAAGGGCCTTGGAAGGCCATGTCGACACTTTGCGGGCGGGGCGCGGCCAGGGGAACCTTGGGAAATCGCTCATCTTTGCTATGCGGGTTGACTGTATCCTTCTCTCTCCCCTCTCCTCCCTCCTGCTCCTGCTCCATCCCCGCTCTGGCTCCGCCTCGCTCCCCGAAAACCTTTTCGATCCTCGACCATCCTCCCGATCGCCCAAAACCTTCACCCCCTCCCCGTCGACCCCAGAGCCCCAGGGGCGCTCTCGACCTCTCCTCGCTTCTCCTCGATACTCGCCTAATCCAAGGGATCAGTTTTCCTTCCTATCGAGACGGCCCCAGGCACCTCAGGAATTCATGTGCCCAAGCTTTGTTTCCTTGAGGCTTCGCTTCATTGAATACTTAGTGATGTGCACTCCCCCGCTGGTTCTTGCGTTCCGTTCCGTTCTTCCGCGAACCTCTTTTCGATCATCTTCGGTCCCGGCTTCCTCCCCCGCCTTGAGAGGAGCCTTGCGTCTTCGCGCTGGAGGCCATCGGCGGAGGGCTGGCGGACGAGGCGGGCGGGGAGCTCACTGGCGACGCGGGGCTCCTCTGGGCGCGTGGGAGATGCTCGTCGTCGGCGGCGTCGGCGTCGTCGTCGACGTCTGACCCTGACAGCCTCCCTCGCGTCGTTAAGATAATTTCGACGGGAGATTTGTTTTACCGTTTGGGGCCGCTGGCGTCCCTTCTACTCTCGGCCGCCAGCGGCCCCGGGGGAGCGTCAAGAAAGGCCACCCAGGAAGGAAGGCTGGTGCCCCTGGAGAAGGGGGGGGCAGTCGAGTTGGGAGAGACGGGGGCCAATGCAAACGGAGATCGATCTTGCAAAGCGCTTGTTTTGTAAGGTCTGGGCGATGACGGCCGTGATCGGCTCTCTCTCTCTCTCTCTCTCTCTCTCTCTCTCTCCCCCCCTCCCCCGGATCACGTCACGCTATTTTGCCTACGTTTGCAGCGACTTCCTATACGGATTCGTCGCGGATTTCTTGGTTTCGCCGGTGCCAAGAGTGAATTCAGCGTGGATTTGCGTCTTCGTTTTTCATTTTTATTTTCCTTTTTTCTGATATGCGCACGTCAATCGATCATGTGGCTCGGGCGTTCGTGTGAATGCCGTGTGGCCAGCGAATTTCGAATGTCTTCCGTGCCCTTGATTCTTCCTGATCGTATTCATTTATCTTATTCCTCTTGCCTGCATTGTTTTTCTCTTCATTTCCCTCCCGCTGTCATCTTCTTTTCTCAGGGCCTGCGACAGGATCCAACAGGGCGCCGGGAAGACTGCAAGTGAGCTCGAGGAGAGTCCAGCAGGTCCCGAGAAGGATTGCAAGCAGGCCCTAGGGTCCCAAGACAGGCTTTGTAGGGGTCCAAAACAACTTGCAGACCTGTCTCCTCGCATATGTTATGACGCGTTTCGGCCGTGGTCCGCGGGATTCTACTGTTCATCCGCCTTTTTGCCTTCATTTCCGACGCCTCGCGTACTTCCGCCAGCCAAGGCAAAAGCAATCACCAGGCGAGTTGCTTCGATCAACATGTGTAGCAGCATGCGGCGCCGCAGCGAACCGAATGTGTTTTCATTGGTTCTGTGCGGGGGGAGGAAGAGGAGGTGGAGGAAGCGAAGGGACAAATGTGGTGGCGAAGGACCAGTCGTAACGAAAGAAGAGGGACAGCAAAAGGATGGACGCGTGCTGGAGGAAACAGCAACATGCTAGAGCATGAGAAGGTCGGAGGGATGATGAGGGACCTGAGGGGGGGGGGGAGGGTTACGAGGAGCCAGGGGGAGGTAGCTGCCGCATTGGTGATCCGCGCAGAACACCAGCGCGCCGCACCCTTTCGTAAACGAGGATGTAGGAATGTGCCAGATGGGGAGGTGGGAGGAGCATGGGGGAGGTAGGAGGACATGGGGGTAAGAACACTCAGGACGAAGCAGTTCCGGAGACGGTGCCCAGGCAAATTGTGTCGATCAGAAACGTGCGCCAGCATGGTGCTCAACCAAGAGGGCGACGCTGTTTACGTTAGAAACGTGAGGACGGCGCAGGAGGAATCGGAGGATTAACAGCAGCGGGGAAGGAGGACAAGGAGGAGGATGACGGGGAAACGGAGGAGGGGCGGGATGAGGGCGAGGAGTAGGAAAAGGAATGACGGGAGAGAAAAAATCACGACGACGGCCAGAATCAATCATGGAGGTTTCTGTTTGTTTTCCGCACGCGGCTCTTGTTAGAAGCCCCTTGGGGTGATTTGTGGGCCATTGTGGAGCTAATTTGGAGCCATTTTGGGAGAGCCTACGGGGTCCTCTTGAGGCTGTTTCGGGCCTCCTTGGGATCCTCTTCGGGGTCTCGTGGGCCCGTCTTGGAGGCCTTGGGGGCCCTCTCGGGGCCATCTTGGAAACGCCGTCAGTCAAAGAGTACGGGGGGAGGGTCCTTGCAGCGTCCCCTCGCTGGAGCCGCCCACGTCGCCTCTTGGCGCTCTCTTGGGACCTCCTTCGGCTGCTCTTGAGCGCTCTCGGCGCCGTCTTTGGGCCTGTCGGGTTCTTCTGGAAGGCCATCTCAGGCCAGCGTGGCCATCTAGAGGCCTCAAGGGCCCATGGAAAACGAAAAGGCGACGAGGCATAACACACAGCACGCAATGGTTTTCATTTTTCCCGGAAAGGGCGCGGGCCCAGGGTTCTCTTTTAGTATGTAAACATGTCCCCGGTGCCCAACTTGAAGGAGGCCGGCGGATTCTTTCCCTGATAAATATCGAGGTCGAAGGAGGCCGGCGGATTAAAATTTGAGGATGTCTCGGCGAAACGCTTGTTTTTGAAATCCCGATCGATAAATCACAGGGTGCGGGACACCTCAGCACGACCACACCCCCAGCATGACCACACCCCAGCACGACCACGCCCAGCACGACCACGCACCCCAGCACGACCACACCCCAGCACGACCACACCCCAGCACGACCACACCCCAGCACGACCACACCCCAGCACCAGCACGACCACACCCCAGCACGACCCGATCGATAAATCACAGGGTGCGGACCACCCCAGCACGACCACACCCCAGCACGACCCCACCCCAGCACGACCCCACCCCAGCACGACCACACCCCAGCACGCACGACCACACCCCAGCACGACCCCACCCCAGCACGACCCCACCCCAGCACGACCACACCCCAGCACGACCACACCCCAGCACGACCCCACCCCAGCACGACCCCACCCCAGCACGACCACACCCCAGCACGACCACACCCCAGCAGGACCCCACCCCAGCACGACCCCACCCCAGCAAGACCACACCCCAGCACGACCACACCCCAGCACGACCTCACCACAGCACGACCACACCCCAGCACGACCACGCCCCAGCACGACCACGCCCCAGCACGACCACGCCCCAGCACGACCACCCCCCAGCACGACCACCCCCCCAGCACGACCACCCCCCAGCACGACCACCCCCCAGCACGACCACACCCCAGCACGACCACTCCCCAGCACGACCACACCGCCTTGGTTGAGTGGTTGCCTGTCGTCGTGGAATGTTTCGTGGGGTGTCTCGTGGAATGTTTCGCGGGGTGTCTCGTGGAATGTTTCGTGAGGTGTCTCGTGGAATGTTTCGTGAGGTGTCTCGTGGGATGTTTCGTGAAGTGTCTCGTGGGATGTTTCGCGAGGTGTTGCCCAGTTGGGTATCGTGAAAACGTGTCCATGCTCCACATGTCTATATCCCTTTCCGGGTTCGTGGGTCCATCATGTTTTTGTCTTGGAGGCCTCCTTGGAGAGTTCGAAGGGCACGCGGGGCCGTCTTGAAGCGGTTTTGACGACTCTCAGAGGCATGTTGGAGGCTATTCGGAATCGTCCTGGGATGCGTTGAGCGATATTGGAGGCGTATCTGGGCTCCTTGCAGCCATCTCGGAAACATTTTGGGCCGTATTGGGCGCTCCAACGACCCGCGGCTACCTTCCCGCGCATGAAGGATTGGGCGGGGACATGGGGAACTGTGTCCATGAAGGGGAAGAGTGGGCTTGGATGAATTATTTCGTCACGCCGCTCACGCTTAAAGGGGTGCTGGGATTCCTGTCTCCCTCCGGCCCTCTCCTGCGGCGTGCCCCATCCACTCCCTGTGACTTCTCCCCCGCCCCCCCCCTCCTTCCAGGCTCCGCGCGCGGCCTAGTGAAAACTTTGGGGAGAAAAACAAAAACTCGTTTTGAATACCTCTCCGAATTCTTGGTGGATTTTTCCTTGGGCGCGCGCATCGAAAAAACACGCGCGGAAAAATCCGGGGGGCACCCGGAAAAATTCACGCGGTTTCCGGGGCAAATTCACATTTGGATTTGGAAAAATCCGGGCAGAATTCACTCGAGAATCCGGGGTAGTATTCCCAGGCGGCCGTGGAAAAATCCCACCAGCCATGCAGAGCGCGGGTGGTGGTTTAACGGGCTAGCTTATCCGCGCGTTTCTCCCTGGCAGGGACGGGGACCCCCCCCTGCCCTCTCGTCCCCGGGCGTGGGCAGAGAGTGACCGCGGGGCGGTGGAGTGCCCGAAATGGCCGAAGATGGCTCCAAAGGAACCGCAGGCAACCCAAGAAGGATTCCGAGATCGCTCCATATACTTGCAGATGGTACAATTTTGCTTTCAGTGTGCCTCCAAGCCCCCTCAAGACCGCCTCGTGACAGCCCGCAATTGTCTTTCGAGCTCTTGAAGGAGGCCTCCAACGGGTTCAACTCCTTTACAATCACTGTGCGCTTCAATTGTTTCCTTCTCGCCTTTTTGCTTTCCGTAGTTTCTGGAGGCCTCGAGATGGCTGCGAGTTGGTTTGAACTTGCTTTGAGAGGGGGCCATCAGGGCCCAAGTCGGCTCCAAGAGCACCAAAGAGCGGCCCAAAACGCTTCAAGGGCGTCGCAAGAGGGCCGCATTTGGCGACTGGGGGGCTCGAGAAGGAATGGGGCGTTGCTAGGGCCCCACTTCTTTGACCGACGGCTTCAAGATGGCCCCAGGAGGGCCCCCAAGGCTTCCAAGAGGGGCCCAGGAGATCCCCGAAACGACCCGAAGAGGACCCCAAGGGGCTCCAAGACAGCCGCCAAAGGCAGCCAACGTTGCCCTAAGAGAGCGCCGCGGCGGCACCGATATGGCGACGTTGATGGGGCGTCCCGCAGGCACCTAAAGCGAACGACTCGAGATCCTCGATGATTGATGCCCGTCGTCGTCAGCGTGTTTTTTCCCGGAAAGGGCTCAGGCCCAGGGTTTTCTTTTAGTATGTAAACATAGTCCCCCGTGCCCAACTTGAAGGAGGCCGGCGGATTCTTTCCCTGATAAATATCGAGGTCGAAGGGGGCCGGCGGATTAAAATTTGAGGATGTCTCAGGCGAAACGCTTATTTTTGAAATCCCGATCGATAAATCACAGGGTGCGGGACACCTCAGCACGACCACACCCCAGCACGACCGCGCCCCAGCACGACCACGCCCCAGCACGACCACACCGCAGCACGACCACGCCCCAGCACGACCACACCCCAGCACGACCACACCCCAACACGACCACACCCCGCCACGATCACACCCCACCA